AGGAACCGCCCCTTGCACGCCTGGACGGGCTGCGCGAGCCTGGAGGGGCGGGGGGGGGGCGGGTCGTGCGGGCGGGGCGGGGGGGGGGCGTGTGGACCGGCGGCCGGTGCGGTGCGGTCGCCTTGGTAGCTTCACAGTGTGGCGGCGGCCTGGCAGTATCTGCTCTGTGCCTTGTGTGTGCGTGTGTGTGTGTGTGTGTGTGTGTGTGTGTGTGTGTGTGTGTGTGTGTGCGTGCGTGCGTGTGTGTGTGTGTGTGTGTGTGTTTGCGTGCGTGCGTGTGTGTGTGTCCGTGTGTGTCTGTCCGTGTGTGTGTGTGTGTGTGTGTGTGTGTGTGTGTGAGCGTGCGTGCGTGCCGCTGCAGGTCGATCTCGTCGAGGAAGACGACGCCTGGCGATCCGTTGGAGTTATTAGTTATTCAGCGCTATAGTGATTACTCCGCTCGATCTCGTCGAGGGAGAACGCCTTCTCCGACGACGGTGGCGGAGCCGTAGGAGAGGACGACGTCGCCGTGGAAGGGCACGTGCTGCGTGATGTGCCTACAGCCGCCCCCCCCCGGCCAACCGAGGACGCGTCATCTGCGCCGCTCACACGCCGCCGCACCCCCGCGCCGCCGCTCGCATGCTGAGAGTCGCGGTGATGCCGATGCATGTCTAGGAAGTGTCTCGGAAGTGTCTAGGAAGTGTCTCGCATGCTGAGAGTCGCGGTGATGCCGATGCGGCGGAGGCGGAGGACGAGCTGGTCGGGCATGGTCTGGTACCAGGGCGAGTCCCAGCACACGCCGAAGGTCCACCTCCCGTGGTGCACCTCCTCCACCACCAGCGAGTCGAGCACCAGCCGCGAGCCTACAGGACCGCTCGCGCAAGGCTCCGCAAAGGCGCGGCAAGGCGGCGACACCTCCTCCACCGCCAGCGAGTTGGAGCACGAGCCTGTGCCGTGTACGGCGGGGGCCCCACAGCCGGAATACGCCGTATTCCAGCGGCGCGGAACCGAGCCAGTGCCGGACCGGGCGGGAGGCGCATCTGGCAAGCGTCTCATCTAGCAAGCGCCTGGCCCGAGCGACTGCGGCTCGTTCGGCAGCGCGTCAACCTCGAAAGGGGTGCGGAAGGTGGCGTCGAGGAGGGTCTCGACGCCCTCGGTCAGGCGCTCAGAGTTCTTGTCGAACCGCTGGCACCCTTCCGGCAGCGGCGGGAAGTCGGGGTCGTACCTCTCGAGCAGCGCGGCCGTCTCGTTTTGAGAGAGCAGCGCGGCGCGCTTCTGCTCCCAATAGTAGCGGTACGCGGGTGTCCAGAAGATGAGGGCGTTGAGCATGAGCGCCGCGGTGAGGGCCAGCAAGGTGAAGAGGACCAGCGGCCAGAGGAAGCGGCGCAGCCCCCCCGGCGAGCTCTCCACGTCGGCGATGCTCATGCAGAGTGTCCTCGAGACACCCGACAGGCCCTTGGCCTCGTCCATAAAGGTCGGGCCGCTCAGGCCACCCATCGCGGACCGGGAGCGGGCGAGGTTGGGCTTGGCTCCGAGCGAGCGAGTCGTTGGGGCCTGCGTCTCTGGTGGAGAGAGCACATCCCCGTCGGCGGCGTCTTGCGCCACCGCCGACAAGCGCCTGGTCTGGATGTACTCCCTGGTCGGCTTGTCGCAGAGCGGCTCGTTTGGCTTGAGCGAGCCGGCAGCAACCCTCGTGGGTGGCATAGAGAGTTGGGCTTACCAAGATCGGCCGAACGCGATCAAATCGTCCAGGACGAAACGAGGCGGCACAGCGCCTTGCCTTGCAGTGTGATGTACTGGGTACCGTTTGCGAGGGAAGAAATCATGGGGCCGCGAGTCCCATGCCAGGCAGGTTTGCCGTTCTACCCCCACCGGCCTTTGAAAAGAACAACGCGACGCGTGTTGGCCGGACCGCATCCGCGCCCGCCTTTCTGGCCTCTCGCCGTGGGCGCGCGCGGCGATCCAAGTTGCGAGGTTCCCAACACCCGCGAACTGGGGGAAAAAGTCAAGACCAGCTTTAAATGATACGCACAGGCGCCACAGCGCACCGCGCTGCAGGAAAAGACAAATCGCACATGAGATTGGGCTTAGCACATGGAGATTTTCCGGAGAGGGGTGTGGGTGGACTATAGGCCTCTCGTCTTGCGGACAGTGCGCCGCGAGCAGAGAGCAGGGGCGAGAGCGGGGCGTCGCAAGGGGGGCGCGAGGAGCTAAGTCGATCCAGACGAGCACGACCGCTCACACGAGAGGTTGTGGAGCGCGAGGCGCTGCGCCGCCTCAGAGCTCGCGCATCGCGGCGCCGCCGTGGCCGTCGAAGGCGAGCTCGTGCGTGTGGTGGCGCGCGAGCTCAGGGCGGTGCGCCACGACGAGGGTGGCCGCCTCGCTCGCGGCGAGGAAGGCGAAGAAGCGCTCCTCGAAGCCGGCCTCGCAGGCGGAGGTTGGCTCGTCGGCGACGATCAGCGCCGGAGGGGAGGAGGAGCGGCACGCGAGGTAGAGGCGCGCGGCGGCGAGGCGCTGCCGCTCGCCACCGGAGAGGGAGCCGCCTGCGGGCGAGGCCGCGCCGCCGCGGTCAGCGGCGCAAGCGCGACGAAGCGAAGCGGGGAGGGGGCGGGAGCGAGTCAGCGGCGCAAGCGTGGCGAGGCTAGTGAGGGAGGGGGGGGGGGACGCCGAGGTCTGGCCGCGGCTCGTCGAGCTCGGCGCCGCCTGCGGCGAGCCTCTCGAGCCCGGCCCACGCCAGAGCCTACAGGACGGCGCCTTGAGCGCTCCTCGACCGCCCCGACAAACTTCCCAAGCGGCGGACCCAATCTGAGCCTCGAGAAACATGGCGTCAGCGGCGGGCGCGGCGTCGGCCAGCGGCGTGGGGTACAAGAGCTGCGCCTGCGCTCAAAGCGAAGCGAGGAGCTAAGGCGGGGGCTGGCGGGGGAGTCTCGTCCCCGCGGCGCGAGCGAGGGTGCCCGCAGACAGCCGGTCGGGAGGATGTACGGCCGCTGCGGCAGCGCGACGATCCGGTCGGACGGCGGCGTCGACACCTCGCCCGCGCGCGCCTACACGCGGCGAGGCGCCTCTGGCCCGTCACTCGGCCGGGGCGCGGCGGCGGTCCGCTCCGCGCGCGCAGCCCGCCGGCCACACGCCGAGCGCAACCCGCAGCAGCGACGACTTTCCGCAACCGTTTGGCCCCGAGACGAAGACGTGGGCTCCGCGCGGGACGGAGGCGGAGAGGGGGCCGGCGAGGGGGGGCTCGGAGAGCGCTGGCGGGGCGATGACGACGGACCGGAGCTCGAGCGCCATCCCTGCCGCCGAGCAGCGCCGCCGTGACGAGGGAGAGAGGGTGGCGCGTGTGCGCGTCGCGGGGTGAGTGTGCTGTCCCGGCTGGCTGCGCGTGGCTGGGGGGGGCGGGGTTGCACCAGAGCCCGCCGTGCGAGCCTGGACGAGGGCTCGCTCGAGCAGCGGCGGGGCCGCACCCTCGCCGCCCTTCTTGGCGGGTCCGTTGCCGTTTGCGGCTTCGGCGTGCGCCGGCTCGAGCGAGGTGAGGAGGGCGAGGACGCGGCGGGCGTGCGCCGAGGCGGTGGCTGCAGTCTTGTGCGAGAGGACGAGGTCCTGCTCACAGCCGGAGGTGTGGAGAGAGGCGTTGTGCTTTTCTGTGAAGAGAGGCGCGGGAGGGGGCGGGGTGAGGGGCGAGGGAGGGACAGGGCGGTGTTCCTTGCAAGCCATCCCAACGTGGACGAGGAGGTGGAGCGAGGTGAGAAAGTACTCGGTCGGGTCGGCTCCGCCCGGGGCGGCGCGCACGACGGCGGGCAGCATCGCGGTGAAGGCGGCGAGGATGCCTACGCGCCACGCGCCTCACACGCCCTCACCGCGGGGCTGCCTGCCCGCCTGAGCGGTGGAAGGCGGCGAGGGCTGTGCCGAGGTGCCGCAACACGTACCCGTCCAGCGAGTCCGAGCCTGGGAGGGGAGGCACCGGTGGGAAGCGAGCGCGCGCGAGAGCAGGGGGAGGGCGCAAGGCTTGCCACCGAAGCGCTGCAGCTGCAGCTGCGAGGTGCGCCCGGCGGCGGCGGCGAGCGAAGCGTGCAGCGCCTCCGCCTCGGCTGCGCCGCCCCCCATGAGTGCAACCTCCTCGGCGTACTCGACGAGGTGCGAGTGCAGCGCGAGCAGCTCCGCCTGCAGACGCTCGAGGCCAGGGCTCGAGGACGCCTCCCGCAGCGGCGCTTTCGGCGGGGGGGGGCGCTGCGGCGCGAGGAGAAGGCGGGTGAGGAGAAGGGGGGGGGGGGGTCGCCTCCGCGTCTGCCACGCCCGTCGTCATCGTCGCGATCGAGGGGCCGGCGAAGCGGGTCCAGCAGCCGGCGGCGAAGAAGAAGGAGTAGCAGTAGCAGAGCGGGCCGGGGCCCATCATGAGAGCCAGCTTGACCGAGAGGAGGGACACCTCGACCAGCGGCTTCGAGAGGGCCTGCGCGAGGGAGGTGCACGCAGGTCTGCTCGGAGGCCCGCGAGGAGGCGGCTGCACGCCTTGTGTCGTCGTCGTGGGTGGCACAAGCGGCTGCCCCCTCGCCACATCCCTCGCCGCCTCCCCCTCGCCGCGCCCTCCCGGACCCGCTCGCCCGGACCCAGTCGCCGCCGCGCGGGAGAGGGGGGGGCAAGTGGAGGGCGGGGCGGGGCGGGGCACTGCAGAGGGCGGGACAGTGCGAGCTTGCGCAGGGCAGGGCTTGCGCAGGGCAGGGCGGGGCAAGCGCAGCCGCGCACCTCGTACAGCTCGACGGCGGAAGAGCAAAACTCCGCCGGGTCTGTCAAGCACACGCCGACTGCGCCGCCGCGCGACGTGTCGGCGCTGCCCTCCGCCGCCGCCGCGAGCGCGCCGGGCAGCCTGCGCGTCGCCGTCCCCTCCGGAGCGGGCATGAGCGGCGCGTCGGCGCCCGCCGCGCCCAGCTTGTCCACGACTGTCTGCAGCAGCCGCTCGCGCAGGCAGAGCGCCGCACGCTCGCGCGAGAACTTTTGGAGGGCGGTGGTGGCGGCCGCCGGCAGCGCCCAGAGCGCGTAGGTCAGCTGCCGGCTGAAGAGCTCCTCCCACTCCCCCTTTGCGAGCAACGAGCCGAGCGAGCCGATCTCGGAAGACACCTTGACCGACACTGCGAGCCGCACGCCCAGGCCAAGCGAGAAGACGCCGAGCCACGCGGCCGAACGGCTCCAATACGACGGCATGGCGAGACGCAGCACGGTGCGGAGCGGGCCGGGTGCCTTTGGAGGCCTGGACGGCGGCGGCGGCGCGACGAGTGTGCCGTCCTTCTCCGCCGGAGGCTTGAGTGCACGGCGCGCCTTGAGCTTGAGCCGGAGGAAGACGGCGCGACCGGTCACGCCGACAAAGGTGACGGCCCACCCGGCGAGGAGCACACGGCCGCGTGGCTCGTTCACCCAGGCGCGAAGGAGCCGGCTGAGGACCGAGCCCTCGACTTGGTGCACCATCGCCGACCCACGAAATTTCCCAAAATGCAGGTGTGTATTCTTTTTGCTTGATGCGGCCAGCATGCTGAAATTCTGGAAAAACCTGACCGGCCCCTGCGGTGCCCCTACCTACCTACCTACCTACCTACCCTACTTATGGGAAACTAAAAAAGAAATCACGGGCCTGGTGAAGGTGGGGTACTATACCAACTACAGTGATGGCTGGCGGTACTCTCCTGCAATCACAGTCCTTCCTGTGACGTGGCAGGCCACTATCAAGCCCTACAAGCACCAGATCACCCACTTGGGGAGGGTTGACGTCGTGATTTTTGCCGAAAATTTCTTTTTTTGCTGTGAAAATTCCGGCGTGAAGAGAGGGAAAAACCCGAAGGGAGCGCCCAGACCTACCCTACCTACCCCGGCATGCTGGCCGCCCCAAGCAAAAAGAATACACACCTGAAAAATGAAAAGAATTTGATGTGCGCCGCGCGGGTGCTAGCTTTCCATCAGTTAAAATCTCTGTGTGGTGGCGGCGTGCCGTCCTCCCATCCCTCCCTTGGGTTCTCCGTTTTCTTTCTTTCTTTCTTTTTCCACCGGTTAAAATCGTACGAAAATCCCTGTGTGGTGGCGGCGTGCCGTCCTCCCATCCCTCCGTTAGGTTGTGTGCTAGTGCCAGTGCGCGCCAGTCCCGTGCCCAGTGTCGTGCGAGGGAGTTTTGTTGTAAAATTCTTCCGGCGGTAAAGTTCTTTTAACGTGCCAGTGCGCGCCAGTCCCGTGCCCAGTGTTGTGCGAGGGAGCTGGTTGTAAAATTCTTTTAACCGTTCTGAAGGTGCCTATATGGGCTTTGTCAGGAGACAGAACACGGAGGAGCTGTATAGGTCACTAGAGACCCACACCATCGCTACATCACCACAGCCACCAAGTCGGATACAAGTCGATGACAATGTGCGCGGCAGGACAAACCAAACATGAGACGGTTACACAAGGACGGTCAGGCTACGGTCAGGAAGTAGGTTTGAGTTCACACTCTCCAACACTCCCCCATTGTCTCCGCAGTCTTCATGAATGAGGATGCGGCAGACAACAACAGCAGAGTGTGAATGTGTCTGAGCGTAGGTATGCCATCCAGACGGCAGAGACGCTCGTAGAGGCGCATTGGACTTCTTGCCAGAGGCGTTGGACAGCGGGACGGGCTAGCGCGAGGAGGCAGGACGAGGAAGAGTCAGACAGCAATGAGGTAGAGTGGCATTGCCACGTCGAACAGATGCCCAACACTCCCCCACGACGTGATAATCGCCACACAAGGCAGAGAGGGCGTGTCGATCGTCGCGTGTTCATCGCGTACAGCTCCGGTCGTGTCGAGCGGCGACGTCGGAAGTAGCGGCGGCGAAAGGCAGGGTCCACATTCGGTGCGAGATCTTTGCGGTAGCTGCCGTTGCAGCAGCCCGAGAGCTGGTAGCGGAGGCAGCAGCTGCGATGGTGGTCCGTAGGCGAGGAGAACGGACCGGTAAGGAGAAGCAAGAGGGGATACACGTGTCCACACAGCCGCAGTGCTGGCGTAGATGCGCTCTGTCGCAGAAGATCCGCAAGCACCCAAGTTGATGTTGCGGTTGTACTCATTCTGCTCAGCCTCCGAGCCGAGCAGTTGGCGGCCGCTGTGCCACCGTGCGCCGAGCCTCTGTGCCCAGCCAATCACCACGGCTCGCGCAGTTGCCCATGGTGCCAGCCAACGTATCGAGCGTAAGCCGGAAATGCTGTGCGGCAACACATCTCGCTTGTGTGCCGCACCAGCTCTCATGTCGGCCTCAGTGCCGCACTGCTCACTCCGTGCTCTCACCGGTCGGTACCATGTCAGGAGACGGAACACGGAGGAGCTGTATAGGTCACTAGAGACCCACACCATCGCTACATCACCACAGCCACCAAGTCGGATACAAGTCGATGACAATGTGCGCGGCAGGACAAACCAAACATGAGACGGTTACACAAGGACGGTCAGGCTACGGTCAGGAAGTAGGTTTGAGTTCACACTCTCCAACAGGCTTCCAGTATCGGACCTTCAACAAGACATGCGCTTTTGGCCGGAGGCTGCTTCGGACACGTCCCTTGAACAAACATATATGGGTGGTCATCGCCAATTCGCGCGCTCCGACTTGCAAGGGACTGAGAATCGAGTCATACCTCCTACACATGGTTGACATGCTCCGCGCGGACCTCGAGGCCAGCTCGTCGCCGACCATGCGAGCAAGCAGCGACGCAAAAGGCGACGAGCCCAATGCTCGTTCCGTCGCTGCTACAAGGCCATCGCTGTGTCGTTTTCCACGCCTCGCCCCGTGCTGCGGCCTCCTCGTCGTCATCGGAGCTCTGCTCGTCGGCCTCTTCGTGGGCTGGCGCCTTCGCCCCAAGGATGGCATCGTGTCCGACCTGCTCTGCCCGAACGTGTTTGACGGACCGCCTCTCTGCCACGAGCTGCTGGACTTGCCAGGTTTCCTCGCGCCCGGCTCTCTGTTCCACGAGCAGTGTCAGGAGAAGTGCAACGAGAAAGACTCGAACGTTAGCAAGGTCTGCAGGGTCGTCAAGGCCAAGCCAGGCCTGATCCCGTGCACCACCGTTCTCGATGTGAAGGAGACTGCAAAGGCGCTGGCGAGGCAGATTGGGATGGAGTACCGGAAAGGGCAGAGCCTGCGAGAAGTAATCGAGTCGGTGGTGACGGAGGACCTGAACGGCGCGGCGCGCTCATTTTTCTGGTACTTGCGCGAGACACGCCTCGATGCGCTCTTCCTCAACTACCTGGAAAACCCAGACGGCCCTGGTCAGCTCACCCCGACCCTGGCTCCCTACTTGCTCTCTCCCTTCGGCACGGGTGCGGCGTCTCTCCTGTCGGAATTGGGGCGGTCGATCCTGTCGATCCCCGCCATCGCCCACATTCTCTACAACTCGCACCCGAGCGCGTCCATCGCGACGGCGGAGCTTCTCAACCTCCTCGGGCGTACCGGAATCCGGGTGCCTTCGCTCGTCCCTGGGGCGCTCGGCCTCGGCCTCGCTTCCGCTCAACCTCACTCCCTTGGCTTGGGGTGGCTCGCGTCCAGCCTCCTTGGCCGCGACACGCAGCTTGTGGCGCCAGACGCTCTGGGCAAGCTGATCGACCCGCAGGTCCATGCCGGCCAAGACCAGTCGCTCGCCGTCAAGCTGACGCCAACGCCCGACGATTGGAGCGAATACGTCGAGAAGTGGTACAACGCGGGCCAGGGCATCTCCCTCCGGCGCAACGACCCGAACTACCCTCTCCTCGAACGGCTGGCTAACTACTTCCAGAACTCATGGATGAGCATGCTCCTGTTCAACATCAACGGAGATGGGGTGTACCGCTTCAGCTGCGACTACGACCGCCTCTCGAAGCTCGGCGAGGCCGCGCCCGCGCTGATGAAACACCTCGTCACCCCGGATCCCACGACGAACGAGACGCTGCTTCGCGGCGGCTCTGCCTACGGCGAGCTCATCTTTGAGATGGTGGACCACGATGGACGGCGTGTGCTCAAGCCGAGCGCGAATCAGACGCTGCTGCAGCCGCGCCAGCTTTCAGCGTTGCTGCAGTGCGCGCACAACGGTGCCCAGATCTACCACGTCGGCCTCCACGTTGCGTCGCAGTCGATGGCGTACGCGAGCAAGGATCTCGCCACTGGCCACCAAGATCTCTCCCAGGATCCCGTCTTCCGCATGCTCAACCCTGGCCGCGATGCGACGTCGAATATCAACGCGGCGGCCGACGCATCACTGGTGAACGTGCCCGGCTTCGGGTCGCGCCGCCTGAACGCAGCCGACATGAAGGCCCTCAAGGTCCACGGCGTCGCGCCCCTCCTCGCCGACCCGTGCAATGCGTCTCGCTACAACCCCCGCCACGACCAGCACGTTACCGAGGCCACGCTCGGCCAGCTGAATTTGTTCAACCCTACCGGCCGCCGCGCTCTCGGCATCATCTGCGCCGACGTGAGCGAGCCGGAGCAGGCCATCCAGCTGCCGGAGCGGGCGTGGGGCCAATACGTCCGGCGGCTGCGCGACGACCTCCACATCGCCTCCCAGGTCGAGCCCGTCTACATCGAGCGATACGAGCCGCCCCTCTCTGCCATGGCGATCGGGATAGAGCACACGATGACCTTCTCCATCAACTTCCTTTGGGCCGAGCTCGAGCGGCAGCCGCCCGCCGAGGCCCTGCCGTTCGCCGACATGCCCAATCCTCGCGCGTTCGGCGCCGCCTTCTTCCTCGACGTTGTCGCCTCCGCAGTCATCACCGTCTTCTCGCACAAGACTTTGCTGGAGTGCTCCGAGCCGATCCCGGAACACACGCAGACATCCATCACGAACGAGCAGCTGATTGTGGCCGACTTCCCGCGCTCCATCGAGCTCGGCTACGACGTCAAGCTGCGCAAGATGGCGCACAGCCTGCGTGCGCTGTGGGCGGAGACGAGCCTCTTCATGGAGGCGCACCACCCGGGCTCCCCGGTGATGAATGCCTCGTTTGTCTACGAGGTTCAGCGGTGCGTCTCCTCCTCCACCTGGATCTGAGATGAAGGTATTGCAATAGAGAGTACACCTGTTGATGTGCAGTGAGAGCAAGGGTCTCGGTGTTGGCTTGTCTTGTCTAGTGAGCACGGATTCTCGGTTATCGTACATAGCGACGGGTCAATGGACGATGCGCCGTCCCTCTCAGTCTCACGCCATACGAGGTATTTTCTTCTCAATAAAACAAGGTCTGTGAACGTGTATGCAAGGTCTTGTTTCTTATCTGCCCGCGGGCCGACCCTCACAGCTAACAGCTCACCTATCTGTGAATCTCATAGACCAGCGCAAAGCGCCACAGGAGGTATTTTCTTCTCAATAACAAGGTCTGTGGAATACGAGGTATTTTCTTCTCAATAACAAGGCGGTGAGGTATTTTCTTCTCAATAACAAGGCTGTGAAGCCATCCCCAGGGCCTCCAGGGCTCGCACCTCAACCTCTCACAGACCAGCGCATAGCGCCATAGGACGTATTTTCATTTTCTTCTCATAACAAGGCTGTGAATCACCCTACTGTGAAATGAAAGCGGCATACGGCCGTCGCCGCCCGTCGCCGCCCGTCGCCTCGAAGGGTCGAAGCCTGTGGTTCTGCGCCGCAGGGGGTGGCTGCGCCGCGAGCCTCAACTTCCGTCAGGGATGTGGCTCGCGCCAAACGACACACGGCTCCTCTACTCTGACTACCTCCACCTGCACAAGGACTCGCGCCGCGCCGTGTTTGACCGCTGCTTTGACCCGCAATGGCCCTGCCGCTGGCTCCCAGAGACGGAGTACGCGCGGAACGGTTGGCAGCGCACCAACCTCTCGGGTCCGTTTGCCGAGATGCAGACGCCCGGCGCCACGGTGTCGTTCGAAACCGACGCCACCGCGGTCACGGCGCACCTCGAGTACTCGGGCGACTGCCGGCCAGGGTGCCCGTCCACACAGTGGGCCGGGCAGGAGGAGGACGCGAGGCGATGCTACGACCCACTGCGCAAAGGCAACGCGCAGCCGTCGGACGTCTGCGAGGCAAGCTGCGTACCGATCCTCTTCGTGGACGGTGTGCGTCGGCAGCTGCCACCAACCGAGGTTGGCGCGCCACGGCTGTACATCGGAGCCGTGGCGTTCGATCTCGCCGTCGATGAGGCTGCGCCGATGGGAATGCGCCGTTTCGAGCTCTCCATGCCGTGGGGCGCTGCCACGCACCTCGCCGGCTTGAGGCTTGCCCGCCCGCCCACCTCTGACGGCATTACTGTCCAACGGCCGCCTCCTCGCGGCCGGTTCACGTACATCGCGTACGGCGACTCCATCACGCACGGGTACTGCGCCGAGACGCCGTACCCGGGCTTGATTGGCAGGCTCAACAACTGGACCGCAATCAATCTCGGCTGGGGAGGCATCCGGGTCACGCCCCGGCACGGACCAGCGCTGGGCGCTATCCCCGCCGACCTCATCTCGATGCTCATTGGCACTAACGACTACGGCGGAGGAAACTGCGAAGTTGCGGCTGGCCTATCTGAGACGCTCAATGGCATCCGGGAGGCTCAGCCGGACGTCCCGCTCGTCGTCATCACGATGATTGTGAGGCGCGAAGCAGGAGACCCGCACGGCGACTGCAGCAGCGACGGCGGCGGTGGCGGCGTCACGCTCGAGCAGCTTCGTGAGCAGCTCCGGAGGGAGGTGAACAGGCGCATCCACGCCGGCGACCGGAACCTCCACCTAGTCGAGGGTGGTGGGCTGCTCTCGCTCGGCGACCTCGGCGATGGCCTTCATCCGGCCGGCACAGACGCGATGGAGAAGCTCGCGAGAGGCATCAATGCCCACTTTCACCGTCTGGGCCTTGCGCGCACTTTTCACTGCTACGCAGAGCGCTACCCGCACCTGCTCGAGGAGTACTGCGGCGGTACCGCCACCGAGTGCGACTGGGTGGCCCTGCAGCGCCACTGGGACCAGCATGGCCGCGTGGGGGGGCTGCGTGCTGATTGCGACGCGCCGCCGCCGCCGCCGCCGCCGCCGCCGCACAGCTCGCTCGGCGCGATGGCTGCGAGGCACAACCACAGGGCCCGCGGTCACGCGGCGACGAACGCTGCGACGACTGCCGCAATCTGGTGCTCCGCCGTGGTTGGGGCGGGCGCGCTCGCCGTGGCGTTCGGAATGCTCCTCCGGGCCAAGGGGCACACCCGCTTCGCGAAAGTCCTCGGCTCCGAGGGCGAGTACGAGCTGGAGCCCGGGCCTGCCGACAGGTCTCGGGCGCCAAAACGCCGCGGACGCAGGCAGTCACAAGACAGGGAGCTGGCTCCAGCAGAGGAGAGTCCAAGGTGACGCGCACCGCTTGCGGTGGTGGATCGTGGCCCACGATGAGACGGTTGAACGGTTCTCGCTTCTTCGTACTTCGACTTCGTGCTTCGTCTGGTGCTGGTGCTGGTGTGAAGATATCTCAGAAAATCTCCCCACACTCAGCCGGCCGTGCTCTCGCTCTTAGCTTGAGGTTGAGCTAGCAGCAGGGCCTTGCTCTCGGTCCCCACACTCAGCAGGGCCGTGCTCTCGCTCTTGGCTTGAGAGAGCAGGAGGGCCAGGTGCACAACCCCTGGTGCCGCAACGACAGGAAAACTCACCCGCCTCCTGCACCCCGTAACCGCACAAAAAGCGTATTAGGACTCTGTGGAGGACCCTGTGTGAGTTCCATGGTGAATTCTGTGCGAGTTACACCCTTTTTTGTGTGTGTGCGTTGCCGATTCAAACGTGCCACGCACATGTGCATCGTACAGCCCATGCACATGCGCACATGCTACATGCATGTTGCACTCTCTTGCACATGTCCATGTCCATGTCCATGTCCATGTCCATGTCCTCCATGTCCATGTCCATGGACGCACATGCACCTCCCCTGCTCTGCAGACCCATGTGCAGACCCGCCTTCAACGGATTTTTAGTAGACTTGGACGGTCTCTGGGTCGGCGCCGCCAGCCTGGCGCCGAGGCGCCTTTGCGGGTGCGACGACTCCGCCGGAGCCCACGACTCGGCTCCTGGCGGGCCCGGCCGCGGCCCGGCCGGCGACCACGCGGTCCCGCGCCTCGACGAACGCGTTCCGCTGGGCGAGCGCCGCCTGCGCCACCTTGCGCACGCACACGAGCTGCACGATGAAGTTGTTTCCGAAGTGGAGCAGCACCGGCAGCGCCAGGCCGCCGCCCGTGCCGAGGTAGGCGGCGCCGAAGACGAGGCCGCCGAGGAAGGTCCACGCGGCGTAGATGGAGCGCTGCACGGCAGAGCGCTCGTTCCAGATGTGCATCGCCCCGAAGACCGCCGAGCTCAGCGCGGCGGCGAGCGGCGCCGGCAGCCGCGCCTTTGAGACGAGCCCGTGGAGCAGCAGCGCGCGGAAGAGCACCTGGGAGGCGGCGGCAGGGGACAATGCAAGGAGCGTGGCAGGGAGACGCCGCCCTCTCCCACCCGCCAGGTCGGCCTCATCTCGTCCTCCTCATCTCGGCCACATCTCCCTCCTCATCTCGGCCACATCTCGGCCACATCTCCTGAAATCTCGAATCTCGCCTCCTCGCCCATAGAGCTGCCGGCGGCGAGCTGGAGGATGGGGAGCAGGATGGCGCCGCGCGTGGCGGGGCGCCGCAGCGCCGCCCACAGCGAGAGTCGGGGAGGCTCGTCGCCTGAGGCGCTGCCGCCGCCCGCCGCCGCCTCGGCAGCTTCTGATGCGGCGGAGTCCACCCAGACGGCAACACCGTCGCGGCAAGTGACCGCGGCGAGCTTCTGGCCAAAGTCGGACGGGCAGCCGGCGAGCTGCCGCAGGCCTTGCGTCGCCGCCTGCAGCAGCCCCAGCAACGTCGCCGTCGCCGCCGCCACCGCCACCGTGGAGGTGAGGGGCAGCAGGCGCGCGCGGCTGGGCAGCCTCCCGAGCGGCGCAAAGCGGCAGAGGACGACGCCGAGCAGCGAGCCGGCTGCGGTCTGCATGTTGAGCTGCGACAGCAGCCGGCCGCCGAGCGCGGCGGCGAAGACGGCGTTGTCGTCGGCGAGGATGGCGTCCAGCGGCAGGTCGGACAGGAAGGTGGCGCCCGAGTGCTCGTTCAGCTCCGCGAGGACACGCTCGGCGTGGAGGACGTGCGCGTTGCGCCGCTCGAGCAGCCGCGCGCGCGCTTCGTGCAGCCGCAGCCGCAGCACGTCGTCGCTCTCCCACGGCGCGTGATCCGTCTCACGCAGTGCAAGCTCCGCCTCGAGCGAGGTGCGGTTCATCTTGTGGACGGCGCCACCGCTCACGAGCGCGCCAAGGATGGGCTGGTCGGATCCGAGCGCAGCACGGGCGCACGCCGAGAGGACGAGGACGAGGTGAAGCCTCATATATACATTAAGTGAGAGACAGGCACGAAGCGGAGAGAAAGGCGGCGAGAGCTGGCGCGGGTGAAGAGGAAACAAAAATAACGCACGGGCCCACAGCGGAGCTGGGAAGAGGACCGCCGCAAGCGGCGTGGCGTGGAGCGGTTGTGCATCCCTCCGGGGGCCCCTCTGCGCCGGGGAGGCGTTGTTGGAGGCTAGGACGCAAGCGTCCGTCGCCCTTTTCAAACTCGGGGCCCACTCCGCTACGCTCCGACCCGAATTTGGAGGGCCTGAAAGTTTAAGGTGTTGCTGCGCAAAAGGGGTCGGACGCAGGGCGCAGCTCATGCTAAGAGCTAGAAGAGGAGATAGAGAGAACAACCACCCTGTCCCGTTATTGCGTACACCAACACCACAAAACGCTCTCTCTCTCTCCTGTCCTCACTCAGGGGGGTCACAACTACCAAGTCCCTCGACTAGCTGCCACAGGGCGCAGCTGCCACAGGGCGCAGCTGGAGACGCTCTCCCTCAATCGGCATCCACCCCCACCCGCTCCAGCCCCACTTCTGCTGCCGAGAGAGCTGAATCGAAGCAAGCGAGCCATTGCATCTTGGCGTGCTCCTGGAGCGCGGCTTTCTGCTTGGCGGCCACGAGCACGGCGGAGTCGGCGTCGTAGCGCGCATCGTTCCCGCTCATCGCCCATTCCTCCCACGTGACGTGTGTCGGCCGCGATTCGATATCGCCACCTTCATCGCCAACGAGGACTCCCTCGACTGCAGGGGGCTCCGGCACGGGGAGGGACTCCGCCTGCTGCGCTGGCCGACCGCGCCCTCCTCCTCCATGGGCTCGATCCGAATCCGCAGCGTGTCGTCCCCAGCGGCGGTGTTCTCGCGGGAGGCGGCCGCGGGCACGCTGGGCTCGATCAGCGGCTTTCCCTCAGTTGCTCCGAAAGCACGGATTTGGCGGCGTTCTTGGCTTCAATTTTACGAATGTCTTGGCACCAGCTGAAGGCTTGCATCCGACATCACGCAGTTCGTGCACGGTATTCGGATTTTGCTATTTGTTCGTGTGGGGGTATATTGCAGATTTGTCAATGGTACCGCGTCTGCGACGCGGGCGCCTTGCGAGCAGAGCCCTTAGGACACCCTTTATATCTTGCGCGGTCAAAATTGATACCTCTTCTTTTGGCACCTCCTGATATAATGCTGAGCGGGGCGGAGGCATGTGGGTGGTGGAGGCGGCGGCGGACGACGTCTACTACCTGGCCGCCCCCTGTGGTAGCTTAGCGATCAGGGAGGATCTACCTGTTCGGCCTCGAGGGAGCTGCTTGGGGAGAGAGGGGGGGGGGAGAGGAGAGGAGGAGACACTATGTGTCGCCGTTATCGGGGCACGCTATCCTGTGCAGTCAGGGCAAGTGGGGGCGGGGGGCACTCCCATCTCTCCTGTGTACGGGTGGTGACTGTCCCTAGTCTCGGAGGGGGGCTTGAAGGTAAGAATATTTTATTTTGTGAGAGAGGCTTGTATCTAGATCTCCGAAGAATTCTTTGCGGCCCAGCCGCCAAAGTGAATGCCTACCGGCTGCCCAGCCGCCCCGCCGCAGCGCTAATCGCCATGCCGATCCGCCGCATCTCCCCGGAGCTGATCGACGAGGTGTGCGGCTCGGTCACTCCCACATTGTCGGTGCTGAACCTGTCGCACAACGAGATTGCGACCGTCGAGAACCTGGACCGGCTCGCAGCGCTCACGCGCCTCGACCTCAGCCACAACCGCATCACGCGTCTCACCGGCCTCGAGAGCCTCAGCCGGCTGTCGTTTCTCTCGCTCACGTCCAACCGGCTCCGCGCCGTCACGGGCCTCGAGCACCTCCGACTCCTCGAGGTGCTGCTCCTCGGCGACAACCAGCTCGGCTCCGTTGCGTGCCTGCGCGCCCTCTCGTGGCTGCCAGAGCTGCGCACGCTCACGCTCGCAGGCAGTCCGCCCCCCGCTCTCCCAAGACCCACGCCTCGCACACCCACACGCACCGGCCACAGGCTCCCCACGCCTCGCGCAGGCAACCCGCTCGCCGACGCCTCATCACACACCGCCTTCGTCGCGAGCCTCCTGCCGCGCCTCACGCTGCTCGACGGCGAGCCGCTGCGAGGGCGAGAGAGCCCGCCGCCCGGCGCCCTCGCGGTGCGCGCCTCGCCGGCTGAGGCGGAGCTGCAGGCCGATCGCCCTCGCCCGGCTGAGCCAGCTGCGGGGGAGGAGGAGGAGGAGGAGGAGGAGGAGGAGGAGGAGGAGGAGGAGGAGGAGGAGGAGGCTGCCGAGGAGGCTCGCCGGCAGCCTCGGGCGCTGCAGCTGGCGCTGCCTCCGCTGACAGACCTCGCCTCTCTCCTCCCCCCCTCCTCCTGCCCGCCTCGCCTCGACTGCGGCTTGGCGGCGGTGCTGCCCTCGTGGCCGCCGCTGCCGCTGCCGGCAAGAGACCGACGCGGAGGCATCACTCTTCCCAGAGGGCGAGGCGGGTCACTCTGGCGGCGGGGGGCGCTGTAGGCGCCGCCGCCGGCCGCCTCGCCGCCCGGCCGGCCGACCGAATGCGCCTCCCTCCGCAGCTCACGCGAGCAGTCGCTCTTGCGTCCTGACTCGCCCCGTGTTGAGCCACCAGGCGCGAGACTTGTCGAGCCGTCCAGGAGGCTGCTCGCTGCTCGTACTCTGCTCGGAGCCGCCCCCTGTAGGCGCCAGCTGGCCGAGCCCGCCGCTCGACACCCGGCGGGGAGGCCACGCCGCGAGGCGCGGCTGCTCGTGCGACTCCGACGCTCCGTCCGCCGGGGGCACCTCTCTCGGAGAGAGCACCCCTCTCGGAGAGAGCACCCCGGGAGAGAGCACCTCGGGAGAGAGCACCCCGGGAGAGTGTGGCCACAGCCTCTACCACAACCTCTCTCCGCCGCGTGCGAGTCCGCCGGCACCGGCGCCGCCCCCGAGTCCGCCGGCGTTGGCGCCGCCCTCCCCGCCCGCTCCTCCGCCCGCGTGGCGAGATCCCCCGCGTGCCTCCGCCGCGCTGCTCTCTCCTCCGCTGAGTGGCAAGCCGCGCCCTCCGTCGCCTCCGTCGCCTCGGCCGACGCACGCGGCGCGGGTCTCTCGCTTGCACGCGCAAGCTGCGCCCTCGTGGCGCGAGCTGTGAGCGCTTCGCCCCGTCCTGTCTCAGGCGCACGTGGAGGAGGAGCTCCTGCTCTCGCGCAAGCAGCTGGCGCAGGCGCGGGCAGAGGCCGATGCGGCGAGGGCGGACGCGGATGCCGCGCTCGCCGAGGCCAAGGCGGCGAAGGAGGAGCGGGCGTCGGCGCGCGAGCTGCCCCGAGCGTGCGCCTCTGCGAGCGCTTCCCCGCCACCAGCCCGTGGCCTCGCTGCCGACCGACCCGTGCCTTGTTGTGGCGGCGGCGGCGGCGGCGGCGGCGGCGGCGGCGGCGGCGGTGGCGGTGCGTGTGGCGGCGAGTGCGAGTCGTTGCGGCTGGAGAAGGAGCTGCTCGAGATGCGGCTCGATGCGATGGGGCAGCTGCTGCAGCTGCAGGACGAGGCGATGGGCCTCGGCGGGGCGGACGGCGCCGCCGAAGCGGGCGGCGAGGTCGTCGACCAAGGCGGGGAGGAGGAGGAGGGGGAGGGCGACGCACTAGCCGCCTCCTCGCTGCGGGCTTTGGCTGCGGGCTGGCGCGAGAAGGCGCGAGGGCGGGTGGCGCTCTCTCCCCCCCCGCCCGACCGCCACACTGCCAAGCCGCTCCCCTCCCTCCCCCTCCCTCCCCCTCCCCCCCCCCCCCCTCCTCCCCTCCCTCCCCGGTAGGCGCACGAGCAGCTGCTTCGCGCCCAGCGCGAGGGCCACTCGCGCAGGCGAGCCGTCGCGTACCTCGAGGGAGAGCTTCGCGAGGCGCTCGAGGAGAACGCACGCTTGCGCCGCGAGGCGGTCGAGGCCGAGGCGCGCTGTGAACGGCGTCTCTCCAGGGCGGGGCTGTGAACAGCGTCTCTTCACACCTGCTGCTGTGAGTAGGCGCGCGTCGCCCTCTCCAAGGCGGAGCTGGCCGCGGAGGCGGCGGCCAGGCGCGCGTCCGGGTGCGATGTCACGAGGTGTGAACAGCGTCTCTTCACGCGTGTCGCGGAGAACAGGCGTGCGGCAGAGTCCGAGGCGGCAAAGGTGAGCGGCGCGCACGCGGCCGCCTGCAGCGCCCTCGCCGAGCGGCAGAGCGAGGCGGGCGAGCTGCGCGGCGTGGCGGCGTCCCTCTGCCGCTCGCTGCGCGACGAGCTGCCCGCGGTCGTGGAGGCCGCGGCGGCGCGGCTCGCCGGCGCAGAGGGCCGCCTCGTGCCCCTCGAGGAGCGGCTCGAGTTTGCCTGCGGCCGGCTCGCCGCTCTGCCGGCCCTGCTGGCCGCCGCCAAGAGGACGGCCTCGCCCGTGCCTTCGCCGCCCTGCCCCGCCGCCGGTGCGTCGTGTGCGGAGGGGCCGCCGTCCGCGCCCCCCGCTTCGCCGCCCTCCGCCTCGCCATCCCCCGCCTCGCCGCCCTCCGCCTCGCCATCCCCCGCTTCGCCGCCCTCCGCCTCGCCGCCCTCCGCCTCGCCACACCTCGCCGCCGAGGTGGAGCGGCTCGCGGCGGAGCGGCGGGCGCTGCTGCGGCGGCTCGAGCGGCTCGGCGAGGAGGAGGAGGCGCGGGCCCGCGGCGTGCGCGGCGAGGCGGAGGCGCGCGTGATCGCCGCGCGCGGCGAGGCGGAGGCGGCGCTGGCGGAGGCGGAGGGGGCGCGGGAGGCGGCGGCGAGGCTGCAGCGAAGCGCCGAGGAGAGCGAGGCGCGGGCGGCGGCCGCCGAGGCGGCGGCGGCGGCGCATACGGCCGAGGCGCGGCGAGAGGCGGCGGAGGAGCGGTCGCGCGCCGAGGCGTGCCGCACGACGATGACGGAGGCGGTGGGCAGCTTGCAGGCGGAGCTGAGCAGCGCACGGCAGGCGGTGCAGCGGCTGGAGCGGCGAGCGGCGCGGGGCGCTGCCGAGGCGGAGGCGACGCAGGAGGCGCTGCTCGCGCGGCTGGCAGAGGCGGAGAGCAGGCACGACAGCGAGCGCGCTCTCGCTCGCGGGGCGGCGGAGGCGTCTGCCCAACAGGCGGCGCGGCGGGCGGAGGAGGCTGCGGCAGACGCGGCGAGGGAGGCGAGGTGCGCGCTCGAGGCGGAGGCCGCGCGGCTGCGGAGGGAGGCCGCGGCGGCGGAGCTCACGCACCGGTCGCTCGAGCGCGAGCTCTCGCGAGTGAAGGTGGGCGCCGCACTTGCTCCCGTGGCACGGCCGCCCCTCCCGACACCCCCTGGAGCTCGCCGCCACGCAGGCGCAGGCGGAAGAGGCTGCCCGCGCCCAGTCGGAGCTCCACGAGGGCAAGATCCGCTCGCGCGACGCGCAGCTCGCGACGGCGCGGCGCGAGCGCAACGCGCTGCTCGCGGCGCTGCGGACGGAGCAGCGCGCCAACGCCGCCAGCGCTGCCGCAGCAGAGGCACCAGCCGCACCGGCGACGCCCCAGCCGAGGCAGGCGGGTGGGAGGGCGGCGCCCACCACCGGGGCCGACGATTGTGGCGAGCGAAGCCGCCGCGGGCTCCTGTCCGCCGCCAAACTGGACGAGCTGCGCGCCCTCACCAGCAACTTGATGGCGACGGAGGCAGTGTGACGTGAGTGGGCCAGTGAGGAGCTTGTGAGTTTTGTGTTGGTGAGCGTTGTCTCCTGTGAAGCTGTGTAGAGGTGCGTGTACACGACCAGTACACTACCTCAGTCGCCAACACCGAACACGCACGACACTCGGTAAAGGGTGTGTGGATGCTGGGTTGACGGAAATCGAGGGGGACGCGAGCGCTTTCGGTGGCATGCAGCTCTTTGCGCCTGAAGCCTGGAGAGCAGCTCCTCTGCTGCTCACACACTCTGCACAGTTGACACAGCCTGCTGTGCGGCTGCCACAGCTGTGGCAGCCATGGGCTCGCCCTCACTGGCCCTCAGTCACTTGTGCTGCGGCTTGTGTGAGCGACACTGCTCGGCGACTGCCGGCACACTGTGAGACCTTGGGTGTGAGGTTAAACCACGCCACCAGCGCTTGGTCTCACATCGGGGGGGGTCTGACCCCCCCAGCAGCAGAGCGCTGCTGCTGGGGGGGGGGGGGGGGGTCCTGAGCGCTGCTGCTGGGGGGGGGGGCCCCACCCCCCCAGGAGAAAAAGGCAAGGACCCAGTTTTTTTTGGCGGCGGCCCCCCTTTAACCTTGGGTTGTGTTTGAACCTACCCTCGAGGCGGGTGTGTTCACCGCGCCTTCTAGCCCCGTTGGGAAA